AAAGACATTGAGTCGAAGGGTTGGTCAAACGAGGCCCAATTACCGATTTTGGTAATTTATCAGATAACAGTCTGAAATGAATTTCGGAGACTTTCAAATTAAAGTTGGGGAAAGTATACTCATTATAAAGGCTCGTAATGATTGAGAACATATTACATATTTTATTAGACCCAATAAAATAAAATATAGTTAAAACAGTCCGAGAAATACAACTTTCGGGGCCGAATGTACACGTCGGGACAAAATGAGATGACATCCCACATGAGTGGGGGCCACCCCACGTTTTTATGAGCTATTGAGACAAGGGAGGGCTTCTCAATGTGATAGGAAGGTGGCTGGATGATTTAATTGGAATCAAATAAGTGTGGGCCACACTGTCACACTTATTTGCTAAGTAAAACAAGGAGGAAGGTCTCCTCACCCCCACACCCCTATCAACCACGTCCAAGAAATCAAGGAGAGGGATAGAGAGCTCTGCAAACCTCCATCTCCATTGCCAAGAAAGCTCAAACAAGCAAGGAGCTTAAGGAAGAAGAAAAAGTTGCAAAAGTAGAGAAAAACCTTGAGAATAAAGATGAGAAGCTCCTTAACAACTTTTCTTCCATCTTTGAATTTTATATGACTTATATATCATATGAGATACCCTTAAGATTGTTATACGTGGTTATAAGCGTAGAACAATGGGTTGGAAAGTAGTTCTACGTCCAAGAACGGACTTAGAGGCCAAAGGGATCGGTTCGCCGGAAAATAACCTTTTTAAGGTTATTTGTATTGATATGGGTTTTGTGATGATAATACCTTGTTAGGAAGTTGTATAAGGTGACTCAAGAGCTTTCACGAAGTTGAAAGAGTTGCCGGCGTTACTCGCCAGAGTTCGTCAAAGTTCGCCGGAGTTTCGTCGGAGTTCGATCGAGAAGGGTAGAACTTCATAGCGCTAATTCGAGGTGAGTGGACGGATTAATGTCTTATAACTCTTGGGTTAATTATGAGATTACCTAAGTAAATGTTATATGTGTTCACAATGATGTTTAAAAGATGCTTAAACATGTGATTAGCCAAAGTGATTAAGCTTATATGAATGATCCATTGATATCATAAATGAAGTGTGATATGAAAATGTTTATAAAAACATATATGATGTTTTAAAGGTTAGAAATGGCATAAAATGCTTGGTTATAACTTAATACATGTTGGGATTAAGTTTGACACAAATCGGGTTTGAAATGACGAGTCAACGAAGATGTTGACTAGGTTGCCCAGGGGGTAACCGGCGCCGGTTATGGCTCGGCATGGATGGTTTAATTAATTTAATTAATAACCGGCGCCGGTTGTGTCAAAACCGGCGCCGGTTTGGTGCTGTTTTGCCTACATGTTGATTTTTAATGCATGAATTGCATGAATGATTATGCTTAGGCCTTAAGACTTGATTTAGTCTTGATTATTGATTATGATATCGACCTTATCTAGGATGTGTGGTAGATCATAAGTCGGGTGGAGTACCTAAGGATCAGGCGTGTATCCTCAAAACTCGGTTATAGGGTGAAGTACCCAAGGATCGGGCGGTTATCCTCTAAACTCGGTTATAGGGTGGAGAACCCAAGGATCAGGCGGTTTTACTCAAAACTCGGTTATAGGGTGGAGTACCCAAGGATCGGGCGTTTATCCTCAAAACTCGGTTATAGGGTAGAGTACCCAAGGATCGGGCGGTTATCCTCAAAACTCGGTTATAGTGTGGAGTACCTAAGGATCGGGCTTGTATCCTCAAAACTCGGTTATATAGGGTGGAGTACCCAAGGATCGGGGCGTGTATCCTCAAAACTCATAGATTACTATTAAATTACTGATTTGTAATTTAGGACCGGGCGGTGTCCTCATGTTATGATGATTTGAACCAGGAGGAGTTCTATACACTCATAGATATACGGGTGGGTTGGGGTTTAAGTCAAGGATATTGACTATACTATTTTCCCAAATAAACAATGACCTATGGGTCGGGTATTTCCAAGTGTATATATAATGATATGTATTTCATAACTTGGGGGAAAGAACTATATGTGTAAGTATCACCCTATGTTTGGGTCTTATACTTGAAACGTTAGTTATTCTACATTTAGCCTGCTACTCGCTCGGTGCTTGTACTGACCCCTTCGGAAAGGGGGGGGGGGGGCACCATTTTAGGTTGAGCTCAAGTTTGTTATTCTCACCTTGCTAGGTGAAGTGATCTAAAGGAAGACGTGGTTCGTGCTTCCTTTGCTGTTTTAAACCATAAACTATGCTCATGGATACTTTGTAATAAATACATTTGTTTTGGGCCCGCGAGCCCACGTTTTGGCCATGTGTGGCCCATTATTGAATATTGAATATTTCCGCTATTCGTTCAATCCAAATATGTGATGTTGTTATGTATGTTTACTTACTGAGTATGGTATGGACTATGTTCATGGACGCCTTGTATGATTAAGTTACGTTGACTTGCGAGTGACGTCATTTAGTCATACGGCGGTTGTACACGTGCTTAGATGCGGTGTGGGGCGTGACAGAATCAATCAAACTTTATCAAATTTAATATGAGACAATCCTAGTAGGACGGAGCGGTAATATTTTTGCGCATGGTCATCAACAGATATATAAACATTATTGAGGATATCATTGAAAAAGAATCACAATTTGAACTGATTATGTACGTAATGTTAAGATCTGGGGTTCCATCCTAAAATGTCAACCCTGTTATGAGGAGTATCTTAATATAGCACTTTATTACTTCTTAATTTACCGGTGTGGGACTTTAACACCCCTCCTCACGACTAGAGGTTTCGTTTGGATCGTGCCGTCATTTATTTTTCATCGGTCGTGATTGTCATTTTTTATAATCGTGTCATCATTTTTCATAAGGGGCCCACACCATGGTTATGGATCGCTTTGGCTCTGATACCATGTTAAGAGCCGGGGTTCTATCCTAAAAGGTCAACCTGATAGGAGGAATAGCTTTCCGGTGTGGGACAAATGCTTCAACACGCCCCCTCAGCCTGAACCGGGCTGGACAATATCGGGGTGTATAAACAGGCCAAACAAACCCTTAACAAGCTACCCTTAAAAAAAACTACCCTTAATCATGGGTGTTAAACAAGCCGTCAAACCTCAACCGCAATTGGCTCTGATACCATGTTAAGATCTGAGGTTTCATCCTAAAAGGTCAACCCTGTTAGGAGGAGTATCTCAGATCTTAATATAGCACTCTATTACTTCTTAATTTACTGGTGTGGGACTTTAACACATAATGCGCAATATACTTGAATAATTTAGTTAACTGATTTCAGTTTATTATCACAATTTGAACTGATTATGGTTTATTTATCTGGAACTGATCATGATTTGAGCAATTGAGATTTGTCTAACATCGACAATATATAAAATAATGAATAAATAGATGAAATCTTAAATAACTTCAACTTTCAGTTGCATTAGGTTTGTCTTGATCCAAAAGGTGGAATCTTTCACCCCCGGAGCCCCCCACGCCCCGACCCGACAGGGCAGATGGGGGAGTATAAATCACGGTGACTCAGTCGGTGGAGCAGCAGTAGGCCCATATGCCCGTGCATGCCAGCGGTCCAGCCTATTTCAGAGGATGTGGCCTCCACACAGTCTCTGCGGAGACTCAAACCTTGATTCCTTGAAAAACATTAAAGCGGCCTATGACACAGAAAAAATGATGAAAAATTTAGAGAAAGCGGCGCTAAATAAAAATGATTCTATACATAGAGAAGTTTGTTTGTTAAAAAAAGCCAAATTCTGAATATCATAAAGATGAGAATTTAGATGAACTTTTATTATTATAATGCATGCTAGTTTAGACAAAAAAATGTTTTACAATTTTTTTATAATTAGCCCCATATTATTTGTCCGCCCCTTGGCCTTCAAAAATACAGGATCGGTCCTGATTTTTGGAAAAACTTCGCTATAGGAGAACAACTCAAGATATTTAATTATATGTTGATTTATTATTTTATACTAATAATGTTACTCCCTCCGTCCCATTTTACCTGTCGTCTTACTTTTCTTTTTGAATTATCCCAAAATAAGTGTCACATTTCTCTTTTTGGAAATATATATGTGGTTCATAGGTCATAACATTTGACTTTATTATACTCAAATCACAACCATAACTTTTACCCTTTCAATCATTTGTTAAAAATTGTGTCAAAAGCAAATGAGCAGTGGAGGACCTGGGGGGTTCCTAGGGGGCAAGTGGCCCCGCTTCTGACTCCGAAATTTAGTATTAGTACTTATGATAAAATCGGGGGCCCGCTTCGTGATACAAAACTATGACTATTAGATATGCAATAATTCTGTCAAAGAGCATACGTAAATTGTTATAAGACATTTAAATGACTATAGAATTATGATGAAGCGATTTTAAACAGTTAGACATGTTCTTGACCCGGTCATTCTTTGAAAAGTGGCTGTTGAGGTTTACCTGTCGTCTTACCTTTCTTTTTGAATTATCCCAAAATAAGTGTCACATTTCTCTTTTTGGAAATATATATGTGGTTCATAAGTCATAACATTTGACTTTATTATACTCAAATCACAACCATAACTTTTACCCTTTCAATCACTTGTTAAAAATTGTGTCAAAAGCAAATGAGCAGTGGAGGACCTGGGGGGTTCCTAGGGGGCAAGTGGCCCCGCTTCTGACTCCGAAATTTAGTATTAGTACTTATGATAAAATCGGGGGCCCGCTTCGTGATACAAAACTATGACTATTAGATATGCAATAATTCTGTCAAAGAGCATACGTAAATTGTTATAAGACATTTAAATGACTATAGAATTATGATGAAGCGATTTTAAACAGTTAGACATGTTCTTGACCCGGTCATTCTTTGAAAAGTGGCTGTTGAGGTTTATTCCCGAAGATCCGAAAGCCCAACACAAGCTTTGGATATTGTAGGGATATTTGGTTGGTTTGGAAGGTGTATAAAATATAAAACAGTGAGATATTATCCAACTCAGGAGCTTACTTGTATTTAGTAATTATGCAATTACACTGAAACTACCCGAACGGTAGATGAGTATGAGAATACAAGATTAAGGGATGTAAATCTATTGCTAAGCTCTGAGTATTGAAATGCTAACCCCTTTACCATGATCTAAACATGGATATTTATACTAAAATGGGGATGGGTAAGGTGGACACGTGGCCGAATCTGGTAGGCTGTCACCTCTGCCATGTAAGCACCCATGCCCCCACTTGCAGCCGCCATGATCCAGCATTAAATGCGGCTTCCACTTGCTGACTGCCCGTTCGGGTATGGTGTTCGGTGAGTGGGACCCTGCCATAGATGTTATCTTGTTTATGAGGAGTATCCCGAACCCCGTTCGGGAACCAGCTATTTGGTGCTTTGGTGTGATTGTTTCCTGAGATGCTCCAAGTAGAAGATTCGCCCCGAATGCTGATCAGGAATTCTGGGCTGCTTTGGGCCTGCTACTTCTTTCCGGATTTGGGTTAAGGGATATTGGGCCTGGACCCAATATCCCAACAGTGGCATTAGTGGTTTTTTTAAATATGAATTATCCTTTTCCAAAATTAGAAGTCAATGATATGATGAGACTTCTTATATGTGTGGTGAGCTTAATGGACTTAAGATATTACATTAAATGAAATTCCATATACAAGATATATTCATTGTTTTTTTTTACCAATTACGTTGAGTTGTTGTGGTTATTGCACAAATAAAACGTTTGTGGATACTTTTCTTTGGATCATTTGTCCATGGTTATGTTACTAAAATGTTTGGATCCTCTTGTAAAATGAAGGGCGTATTCCGACAAAATTAATGATATCATAAGACATTTATTAGAAAAAGGTGTAGTAGTAACAAACGGGAGATAATTGAATCAAGAAATTAAAGTAGTTTATCTCGGTCGGGAATTACATGTTGGGTTCACAATTTTAATTATCCCAGGTTGATGAAAGAATTTTGGACACTGTAATTCTGTGGCACGACGCATAACGTTGGACACTATCCTAGTTCTAAATCAAAATTCTTACCATTTGTAGTAAAAACAACTTGAATTCTAATCCAAAACCAGAAATTGCACTAGGATGATTCAGCTCTAATTCATATGAAGTATTATGTTTTTCTTTCAAGAAACCAAATATTATTGTTTAGAATTTTTTAATGGGCTGAAAACTAGACTTGATGTACATAGATATAAATCATTTGAAACTGACAATGAATAATTTGTTGTTGTTTTAAAAAATTGTCTACACATTGAATAAATTAGTCTCACACCCGACCCGGCCCGTCTCCTCACATACAATAGTGTCCCGCTTGAGAAAAGTTCTAGGTCCGCCACTGCAAATAAGACACATAAAATGGGAAGGAGGTAATATATAAAAACTTGAACGCATAGCATCTACTATGTAGTCATGTAGATCATAGTGAGTGATGGCGATTACTTGCACGAAAAACATATATACCATAGAAAAAAAGTGCCAAGTCTAGGATAGGCTGTTAAAGATAGCTCTATTCGTGAGAACATATGGCTGATTGTATTTTATTGCTAGTTCCCCTTGAACAACGCTTTATTGGGGCTTAACCAACACTTAAGGATCTATAGAGGGCAAAATGGTCAGTAAATGATCAGGAGTGTCTCGAGAGAGCTCTAATAATTCCCGAGTAAACCTGCCAATTGGAGTTTGTATGGTCAATGGCCTTTTGACCGTAGGGGTGATCCTCCACATATGTTCTTACATCTTCATCGGCTCTAGCTAACCCTTCTAAATATTCTCGAAGGTCACCTCCCGGGCCTGAAATAATTATTAATATAATTAATGAATAAGTCATACTGATTATTTATGAAAGTGTAACTTGATTTGGAATACAGTTACCTAATGATTGATCATTCATCATTGTTGATTCAGTGTAGGAATGAGGAAAGATCGCAGTGTGACTCTGCGAAGCCATAGAGAAATCAAACTAAATTAGATTTAAACAGACCCGCCTAAACTAATTAAGATTAGACTTTAATGATGTTAAATTAGACATAGAGCAAACATCTTGGGAGACCTTCCGGATAAAAATATCGTCCGGATATCTCCATTTGAGGTGCTCTCCATCGTTTTTTTATGAAATTGTATATATGTTCTTGATGAAGTTTAGATTATGTCCATCAAATCATCTTAAAATTCAATTGGGGAGCCATTTAACAAATTATTGAAAAATACTGTGTCAAAATAGATATAACAAATGTTGTGTTTTTCAATTATTTATTTAACTTACTTACGAATTGAGTGAAAATATGAAATTTGGTGATCGATCGAATAATAATCTAAACTTCATGAAGAACATACTACAAAATTCCTTCAAACAATTCTATCAGAGATCACCTCAAATGGAGGCGGTCATACGGCAGCTCCAGTGAGGAAGGTTTCACATGATTTCTCATATATATTATAGATAAAACTAACTTAATTATGTATATATCTATAATACTACTACCTCCGTCCCAAATTGTTTTGCAAAGTTAACATATTTTGGTCGATCAATGTTAAAGTTAAATCATCTCTATTTTTAATTAATTCAATTTTAATAATTAAAATTTACATATTTAGAAACTATATTAAATGCTCTATAAGGTTGCAAAATCTAAACTAAAATTTAATAAAGAATTGATATCTTAATTAAGTGAATAAAATGAGTTTGTTTAACCTAAAAATTATAAATCACTTTGGAAGAGGTTGTAGTTCGTGTGCGTTCCTAGAAAACTAATCTTTTATTATTTTAATTAACTCAAAACTACTTCACTTTAGGTGACTTTTTTTCAACCTAAAATCGTAGTACCATCTCTTTGGCTCTTCTTACTCATTCCAGAGCTCCAAGTGGCGACCATGCCCTGAGGCTACCGTAGTACCATCCACTTCTAGCAGAGTTTCGGCGGTTCCACTTCTTAACTTCGCCGTTACACCTGCACTGGCTGCACTGCCGATTCCGGCGGCTCTACTTTTCTACGTTTCTCTGACTTTGGAAATGTTAGCTAGACTCCTCTTAGGCTAAGGATGTTTTCTTTTGGACTGTTTTCAGTCCCAGACCAGACCAGACCAGACTTAAACAGACCAGACCAGACCAGACTTTCGTAGTTATAAAATACACAGAGACCAGACGTTTACCAGACCAGACCAGACCAGTTCAGACCAGACCAGACCAGACCAGACCAGACTTAAACAGACCAGAACAGACCAGACCAGACCAGACTTAAACAGACCAGACCAGACCAGACCATCAAATTTCAGTCCAAAAGAAAACATCCTAAGCGCAACCGTCCAGCCCGTCAATAAATCCAATCCCACACCAAGTTTATACGTATTCACCCAGTTAATTCAATTTCAGTTTTTCTCTGTAACTCAGCATCGTTAATATATCCACTCAAGACACATTTTTTTTTAAATTAAATGCATAAATCCTTATGCATTACTTCAAAGCACATTTTTTTAAACAGACAAATCTCTGTTTTCAGTTTTTTTAGTACACATTAATTATGTGATAATTTTATTTTTACCAATAATTATTATTTAAGAAATCAATTTTTTTGTAAGTATTTTACCAATATTTTTTGTAAGTAATTATATAAAAAAAATAAAATGTGTGAATTAAATTTTTTGTAAGTATTAAAATGTCCACTTAAGTTCATTTTGAAATAAATTTAAAACTATCAATTGTTTTTTTATCATCAAAATATTAATTGTTTTTATATTGGTATATTGTAAATTTTTCATTTAATATACGTAGTACTATGTACTAATATTACATTTCAAATAATTGAAACTCATGTTGCTTTCCGCGCATCAATTTAAACTTGCTCTCAATTGAAACAAATTTTATGAAGAGATATTACCCGAAATAGGACTAAAAATGTTTGAAAATTCCAAAATGGGACTGTCATGTTTGTATTCCCAAAATAGGACTAATTACTGTCATGTTTTGGCAGTACCAGACTTCAAACATGGCAGTATTTTCCAAACTTGACAGTAATTACTCTTATTTTGGGAATAAAAAACATGGCAGTCCTATTTTAGAATTTTCAAACTGTTTTAGTCCTATTTCGGGAACTTTCCCTTTTATGAACGGAAGCCTTTTTCACCGGATCCAAAGCCTCTACAATACTTCAAAGCAAGGCACCGTGCCTGGCTTTCAAGAACCGCCCGATCAAAAAGTGGACGGTCGGAGATTTCAACGCACAGATCCTGAGGCCTTCTCTTCTCCATCGGACGGACCCCTGCGCGCAAGGCACTCTGCCGTGCGGCAGAGGATCCGATTCCTTTTTCACCCGCAAGCCAAACCGTGAACGCCGCCCACGGAACAACACCAACCATTCCTTTGTTTTTACTTCGACCGTAATTTGCTAGTTTGGTTTGGTCTGATCTGGTCTGATGTGATCTTTTTTGTATTTTTATAACTATCCAAGGCTCCAAGTCTGATCTGATGTGGTATGGTCTGATCTGATCAGGGACAGATTAAGTTCCAAGTAAAAATATCCTTAGTTGTCAGTCACGTCAGCCCAATTGCTTTCTCCACTCCGCATGTCACCTCCTGGCCAAAGTCTATTGCCCACACACAACCGGTGGGCGTAGCTCAACTGGTAGTGAGGGAGTGTCACAAGGGTTAGGTCTCGGGTTCGAATCCCGGCAACTGCGATGAGGGGTTACTATGCTGAAAAATGCATAAAGCTTCTGCAAGTACCAGGGACATAGTCTCACTCTCTATCTGTCAGATTGCGATTATAGTCCAATTTACATCCTCCCATCGTGTCGTCCGGTCGGTGTTGGGGACCCTCAGGGATGGGGTGTCATCCTTTCTATTGCCCACACACAAGTAGCTCCCCTCGGTTCTCTGTACTCCATATGAGACTTCCCATTGTCCGGGTTGCAGCTCTTTTGGTGGTGAAATCCTCACATTTGGGGTTTTCATCCTCCCCATTGCACTCACTTTTGGGGTGAAATCATCACATTTGGGGTTTTCATCCTCCCCATTGCAATCGGCCTTACTCGGTGCACTCCTGACTTCAATTCGGATGATTTTGGGTTATATAATTCAAATTTGTGATTAATATTAAAATTTGTTTCAATGTGATTAAATTTATGATATTTATGAATGTTTCTTTCAATATTTGTAAAATGTTATGCTTTTCTAGTATTTTTCTTGTTATAGTTTTATTACTTCTATACTAATCAAAGTCAATGATTCTATTTTTATGGGTCAGCCACTGTCTGGGAGGCAATAACTACAGTGATAACGATTCTGGAAGAATGGGACAACTTTGAGTTTAAGTTAGATGCTTTAATGGTGGTGCAAGAAGTGCAGGGTGAGAAGGGTCACTCTTTTTGTATATATCGTGTTGCCTATACTGCAGCTAGACAAATTAAGCGTGTTACTTCCGGATCACAAGTGTAGTTATGAAGATATTCCAAATTTTATTGCATGTCATACGACTATGAACTATCGACTAGATTTACATCCCCCAAATAACTTTTATGTCGGTTCTGGAAACTCTCGGGGATGCGAAATCATTTTTTTAAACCTTAACCTATTCCTGCCATCCTAATAATAACTACATCTACCTCTAATTAATCCTAAGAACTTCTTAAAGGTATGGATGAAATATTAAACTAGAATTAAGTTTAATTAGAACCCTTTGTATTCAATAATTGGTGTACTTACAGGATTAAGCAAAGCCTTGTTTGGAGAATCATCCACTAACAATGTGTTTGATTCATTGTAGTAACCTTTCACCACCGAAGGTTGGTTGGGCCAATCATTCTCCCATACCTTCTTCAAATCCTTGCAGAGTAAGGGTTTGTACCTGTTCTCAGGAGTCATAAATCCTGTTCTGAAACAATGGGACCTATCCTACAATTAAGTTTCGTTATAAAAAACATAGTTAATAAGAAGAGGCAAATTAATCCACACTTCATGTAATATATGATTATTGATTGTTAAACGAATAATAACCGAAAGTTCAACTTACCCAAACAAACAACAACTTTTTCTTCATATCTCCCAATAAATAATCAACAATTTGGTCAAGATAATCTGCCCTGTACATTTTTAGGACACACACATAGATGAGATCAGACTAAGTTAAGATACTGAATCAATCATTTATTAAACATTCGATCCATTGTTGTGAGTAAGCCGCCAAATTCGCAAATAATGCTATTAAACTCATTGTTGTGATCCGTAGATTAGGCCTTCGGGAAATTTTCTCCTCTTAAAATACATGCCTTTTTTTTTTAACTCCGTACGTAGTATTAATTACACGCAGACCCAGAGTATGTCATAACATAATGTTCTTAAATATAGATACGTACTTGGCTCTAGATGTCCAGATGCCCACGTCAAACCTCTCGAAGCAGAAGTGCAGAAAATCTTCACAAAAGGGTCGTTTTGCAACTGCGAATTCATTATATAATCTGACTAAATGCTTCATTCTAAAAGGTCAATGTGTAAAGGGAGTAGTCCAATGTTTTTATATTGGAAATCATTATTTCATATTTTATCGATGTGAAAAATATTTCAACACTCATCCTCAGGATCAAACACTTCGTCTGGATCAGGTCCTCATTCATTTTTTAATTCATTCATTAGGTCATGAACGTATGATGTTTTTAATTTGACCGAGACTTTTATTTAAGTTTAGTCGGGCTTGATATGGTCTGATCTAATCTAATCTGAATCGATATGACTTGGTCTGGTAATTGTCTAGTCTATGTGTATTCTATGCGTAACTATTGAAGTTTATTCTTGTCCGTTTGATTAAGTTTAATTTGATATAGTCTGATCTGGTTAAGTTTGATTTGACATGTTCTGGTCTAGACCGAAATAACTCCAAGTCAACTTCGTTACACTATTGTCGTCATTTTTCATAGTGTGCTCACATCATGATTGTTGATCGGTATGACTCTGATATCGATTTGATGTTTAATTCTAAAAGATCAATCTTATAGAAGGATTAACCCGATATTTATTTATATTGTACTCCCTAATTTATTAGTTCATGTTTGATGACTCACCCAATGTGGGAAATATGTAAACATATACCATGGCACGTCATAAAGATAATTTTTGAAGAGACAAGATACATAAATTTAGTGACTCCGTATAATATATGAAGAGCCCGTTTGGTAGCATTTAAATTGGTTGAATCGGTTATTCTGCTTAAATTTATGAAGTTATGTCCGATGCATCGCGTTATGAAGGCCATGTACTTTCCCTCTTCTGATTTTCTACATGCTAAATTGGGTAACAATCCATCATTTATTTGGAAAAGTATTTCTGAGACTCAAGAAGTGTTAAAAAATAATGTCTGAAGAAGAGTTGGGAATGGGATCGATACACAGGTATGGGCAGATTCTTGGCTGCCTGGCGACAATGGGCGAATTATTTCTGATAGACCAGTGGGTATAAGAGATATGAATGTGGCTGCCCTTCGTGATAGTACATGGAGAAATTGGAGTCTTGAAAGAATAAATAGTTGGTTTGTTCAGGAAGATATATAGAAACCGCATTCTGAGCATTCCTATCGGTCTTGTTGATAGGAAGGATAGTTATTGGTGGGTGGGAGAACGGAGTGGTAGTTACTCTGTTAAGAGCTGTTATAGAATTTTGAGGGGAGAGCCGACGAGTGATTGGAACGGCTAGAGTAAATTATGGGAGATTCAGGCTCCCCTAAAATTTAAATATCTGGCTTGGCAGATTATGGCCGGTTCATTGCCATCGGTGCATAATTTACGTCGGCGGGAGGTAATTATCCCGGAGGGGTGTAACATCTGTGGAGCAGAAGAAGAGGACACGGCTCATGCCTTGCAGCGGTGCCCGAGGGTCATGGAAGTCTGGCAGAAGGCGGGGGTCGATGTGGGTGATCACCAGGTTGATTTTGAAGACTGGTTTCGTTAGGGTTGGGACCGGTTCGGTTCTTACTCAAAATGAGTGGAACCGTTATAAAAGTTTTAACTAATGAAATCGGTTCGGTTCTTATATAAAAAATCAGGAACCGTTATGGAACCGAACCGGTAGTAAACGGTTCGGTTCTTCCTTTTACCGGTTCCTAGAATAATTTTTTCTCGTCTAAGAATTAACACATAATTTTAAACACGTTGAAAATTCAAAACACGAGTATTAATATTTTATTTGAAGCTCTAATTACTTCAAACATTAAAGCTCAAACTTAACTAATGAACTTTGAACACTTAATAGAACAAAAGTGATTTAAATTTTCATGTAATAAATGAAACATTAAAAATCGTTGTAGTGTCGGAGCGACGAAGGTTACTCGCCATCATAGTAGCAAGAATAGGACGTCTACTTCAAGTCTTTCAAAACATTAAAAAAAAGGCATTGAGTTTGCATGTATAGATATAAAAAACTATTATCACATTCTATTGATTCATAATAAATCTAATAATTAGAAATATTATAAAAACAGTAAAGTAAAATATGTGCAATCAACTACAAGTTATTTGGGTTATTTTATATTTATAAAATTTATGTGATGGAACAAAACTTGATTTGTAGAAAGAAGTTTAATGTATACATCAACCTCATGTACAATATTTATTACTTCTTTTCCGTTGATTAAATTAGAATTGTTAGTTAAATATCTTATATTATTTTATTATTGTTGTTGTGGTGGTGGTTATTATTGCTATTATATTATTATTGTTGTTGTGGTGGTGGTTCCTAGATGTTGTTAACAGTTCGGTTCCAATCGGTTCTACGGTTCCTGGTTCCCGGTTCCAAAATCTCACCCCTAGGTTTCGTAGCCATATTACCAAGCAGAACAGTGAGCATGGTGGGTTATTCCCGGCGCTAGTTTGGAGCATCTGGAAACGACGTAATGGGGTTGTGTGGGAGGGACGGCAGATGGAGGCGACTGAAGTGATAAAGGTGGCATCCAGTATGATAAATGCATGGAAGGTGGCGCCTGACATCGCCGGAAACAAAGGAAAACAGCAGCGGGCAGGTGGAGGAGGTAATAGGTGGGCATAAAATTCTTCTAAAGATGCCTTTTTGGGATATCTCACAAATTATTTTCATTTTCCTTTTTTGAAAATTTTTGTGTGATTAATATTCATTTATCTTTTTTTCTCACTCAACTACAATTATATATTTCTACTTATTCTCACCTTTTTTGGAACATTACTCTAAATCTATACAAGTATATGCTCTTGTTAATGTCAATATCCTTGATTGGGGTGAGACTCGAACCTGCGACCTCCTTTTTGGGAGATCAACAGTGATGCCATCAGACCACAAGTACTTGCCTTATTAAATTTTGTTTCAAATTATTAAAAAAAACTTTATGGGATAGAGGGCACTAATGAAGATACAAATCTACAATTTTCTCAAAGCAAACAAATGCATAGATGGATGTGTGTCATACGTACTTGTCCATCGGCCCGGAAAGCTGGCACCACCTGGGACTGGGTACCTAACAGCAATGGCAAGAATGCCATTAATGTCCATTATAATCAGTTTCTTCTTTTTCCCGATTGTCGAAGGTATTGCCGCGGCATATGTAACTTCGTTAACACCTTCTTCCTCAGAATTGGTTGGTTCCATATTCTCTTTCTCTGCATCCATTACTTTCAAGTCTAATCTTTTAAGTCTTCGATCTTCTTCTTGAATCAGTAGAAAATATATAGCGTCCAATTTCATGTAATTAGTAGTTAGCTTAGGTAGTATCTAGCTAGGTCTTTGAATTATATTGATGGCACCATCACCAAGGCCCTCTTATTTGATTCCCCACTTTCCAGGTCATTACAATTCTCATTTATTCCTTGGATCCACTTTTCATACCACTTTTAGGCTAAAGGAAAACCGTGTATTGGGCAATACCAAATTTTGGCTCAAGTCGCGCGTCATAACTGAAGTATCCACCAAACAATACTAATAGGTATAAGTGTATAACTCTTTATATAATTTTTACAATTTGATGGATTTAAGATTCGAGGATAATTAGAAAGAAGTGTTAAAGCTAAGAACTCAATTACCTCATCAAGCTTCAAAAATTGAGACACTCAATTTACGTAGCATTTTTTAGTACCCAAATGAATTTAAAATCTCTAATTTTAACTTACTGTTCCATTATCATTACAAGTTATTTTTGTTTTTTTTTATATTTGAAGTAGTATTGAATTTTATTGATGAAAATAGACCAAAGTACAAGATGGGGGGCTAGGCCTTACCCAAAGAAAGCAAGAGTGAAAAAAGTGAAATAGCAAGTAAATGTGACCGGAAAAGCCCATGCCACCAAATACCAATGTTGGGCCAAAATAACAAATTCTAAGAGAACGGCCCATGCCGCCAATTCCCTAGCCCCAAAATGATTAAGCCCAATAACACAACCCCAAATAATAGTGCTCAAATGCCAAGAAAATCTCAAACAACACTCATCAGGGCCATGTGGCTAAAGTACTACCCCAAACAAAAGTTGCAGAGATAATTTAGAAAAAGGCCAAATAATCCCTTCCGTTCGTACGGTTGTGGATGATTGAATAGGAGACTAGGAGAGTTTCTCTTGTAATCATTCAAAGGCTTTTTAGTGAAGTTGTTAAAATTCCTCCGAGGGAGGTCGAGGTTTTTTAATCCCTTTGAGTCAAGGGATTTTTCCTCGTTAAATCCTTGTGCACTTTACTATTTCGCAATTCCCTTTACCCCACACTAGAACTTGGCCAAAAACTGCCACAGTTCCACACACACACACAATTCACCCCCCTCTTGTGTTGCTAACCGTTTTCATCAATAATCTAGCACAAATCATATCTATCTATCTATATATAAAAGCAAAAGAAATCTTCTAGGAGAAGTTAGCGCCAAAAAAGTTTTAGGGGAGAATGGTGCACGCAAGCACAGACGTATAGAACAGTTACAATCATTCAGTATGCTTCTCTAAAATTAAATTAAATTACTCCGTAATAATAATAGCAAGTGGCACTTCGGAATTTGGACTTCGGCTATATGTCGGCTGCGGGATTTCTTTCAGTAGTTCATTTTTAACTTCAATTAAAAAATTGTGGATTCTTTTTAGCTATTAATAATATGGAGTAAATAAATGAATTTGAGGGTGACGCTTTGTTTCCCGTGCAGATTGCCATTTCATCAAGATCATTTCACTAATGATTCTCCAGTTAAAAAATCCTATATAAATCTTGCAATGGTCTGCAAATGCTTTACCAATTACCACTGCAGCAGTACCGCACTATCGTCTACAGTCCAACGATTTTGTTTCTCACAAGTTCGATACGGAGTATTCCTTAGTGTGATCCATTTAGTTCTTTTTTGTTAATATTGATTTTTTCCTCATGATTTCTGTAGCTTTACCATTCAACCACTTAGAACAGGCCGGCAATAATCTTCAACAGGTGGAAAGAACTATTGGATTTCAATATTATGGTACTCTTTACAATAATTATTCTCCTTTGCAATTTAGACTACTGGATTTATATATATCTAATCAATTACACAATTAATTGAAAATTTTGATATATATATAATGCAAGTACATATTTAATATATAACGTACACAATTGAGGTTTTATTTCATACAGGCCGGAACACTTGCAACGCAATTACAAAGCAGATGGAGTATATAAATATAGACCTGTTTCCAAGTTCTTACATATAATACTGACCGAAAATGAAGATGTCTTTTAATCTAGAATTTCATTTAAAATGCACAAGGACTAGAGCTAATCTAATCTATGAGCCTGTTTGGTAGCACGAAAATCGATTGATTTGGCAGATTTTGCTGAAATTTATTAAGTTCTGGCTGAATTGGCTGCATTGGCTGATTCTGCTGATTTAAGAAAAAAAAAATTTTAAAATATATTTTATTAATAAAATAAAGAAAAAAATATATGTAAAATAGCTAAAATCGGCCAGAAAAGTAACTTCAACCTTACTTTTTCTACTAATTACACAATTCAATGCGCGAAAGCAAAAATTACGTGTTTGGTGAAAAAGTTGGCTGATAAGCCTGATAAGCCGAAAAATAGTGTTGTCAAACGGCCTCTGTATAAATTGGATCATGTAGGACTTTGGAGCATATTAACCACCGCATGAGGATTCACATCGTTAATTGTTTTTGACATGTGAATCAGGCTATATAAACTATAGAAAATATGTGAATCTGGATAATTAATGTGATATGTTATGTTGGGATAAACTCCCTCCGTCCCACGTCCCATATTTATCTTCTGAAGTGTAATTGGCACATAGATTAAAATAGTGATAATTGTAAGGTGGAGAGTTGTACACATGAGAAAGAAATGTGTAAAAATGTGAAAAGAAATGTTGTGAATCTCAAAATCTTTGCCAAAAAAAATAAAGAGAAGATAATTTTGATATGGACGAAAAATGAAAGTATGAAGATAATTCAGAGCTCGGTAGGAAAATGAGAGAATGGGGCTCTTGGAGTCCAATACATGAAGACTAGCATTATATTGGAGAAAGATAACGTCAAAACATCTTAAATAGTGAAATAAAATAAAATAAAATAAAATAAAATAAAATAAAAATAAAGTAAAATAAATAAAATCCCATTCATATATAAAAATAATACAATGCTAATTTCTACATACAAACTCAGTCATTTAGGCATTTAAAAAAATAAAACTCATACCAATCTATCAATTAAGTTTTAATTTAATTTATTCCTATGCAAGTTTATAACTTTATACCCGTATTTGTCAGTAATACAGAGTATAATTTCGAAATGTTTGATTGCTTAAAGTATAATTTCGAAATGTTTGATTGTTTAAATGATCACATTGCAATCAGACCTACATTTTTAACTCCACAAATACATATTCCAATTCTTAAAAATAGTTTTAGCTGGACATGCACATTATCATCTATATATATTATATGAAAATTGCCTACCATTTTCTCATATTACTCTTTTGATGATTGTGTACAAATACAAATATGCTCTTTATTTGGTTTTTATCATTATTATAATTATCATTATTATAATAATTCATGTCTATATTTTGCCCCGTGCACCGCACGAGTATAATACTAGTATATTATAATCAAGGAGCCTTTTTAAAATCGTATAGTGAGGGACTTTATTTATCACTTAGCAAATATAGATATGCACGGTCAACTTTCACGCATGCAATCATTCATAAGCAACTTTCCATTAACAAATATTCATTTAATATTTCAACTAAGAATAATCTTTTTCAAACCAAAAGGGAGTACTTAGCATGCTATGGTCACCTTTATTATTAATGACAAAGCATTCATTTAGTGGATGTAAGTATAGTAAGCAAGGATCCCTTTCATAAAGATTAATGGGAAAACTGTCAAATAGGTCCTCGAACTTTCATAAAAAGGTCAATTAAGTCCTTCTATATGAGGTTTTATCCGGCTGTCGCGATTTGGGACAGTTCCCGGTGGAATTTTTTGATTAATTTTTTTGAGCATCTTATTCACCAAGTCTAGTTTATTCATACCAAATTTTAGCTAAAAATTCAATCGGGAACACATTCAAATTAATTCTTGAAGATAATTGCGCATTTTTGCGTTCTCGAATTAATTTAAATGCGCTCCCGATTAAATTTTTAGTTGAAATTTGGTATGATTAAACTAGGCTTGATGAATAAGATGCTCAAAAAAATTCATCAAAAAATTCCACCGCGAACCGCCCCAAATCGCGACGACCGGACAAAGTCTCCTATAGAAGGACTTAATTGACTTTTTTATGAAAGTTCGAGGACCTATTTGACAGTTTTCTCAAGATTAATTTATAAAAGTCAACTTATGCATGCAAGCAAATTCAAATGATGCCACATATATCATGCGTATATCACACTTTAGACACTTAGATGTAATTATGCATCTAGGTGCAGAACTTTAGAATAGTTCTGTCCAACATTCTCTGGGATAGAACATGTGTCAGTTCTAGCTGCATGGTTAGTCATCACAGGATAGTTCTATCAGGTTGGTTACTCATCAACAATACTATTATTGTATCACATGTGTGAGTACCTATGCACTTTTTGAGAACATCAATTAATTTAAGACAGTGAAGTCATACATAATACTCCCTTTGTCCCTTTTTATTTAGTCCAACACTATTTTCAAGTCAATGATGTTAAATTTTGACTGATTATATATTTATACACGGAAATATTGATAATATGAAAATAATGATATGGAAATATTCTTTGTTAAAAATATTATCATAAAAGTATAAATTAATTAAGTTTCACATAAATATACTAGTTAAATTAATGGATCAAAATTTACAATCTTTGACTGGAAAAGTCAAAGTTGGTAAACAGAAAGGGGATGAAGATAGTACATTGTACTCACTGAGTCTATCTTCTCAACAAAATAATTTCAGTATTGTTTGTTTAAAACGGGCAAAACTAATACTCTACGGAGGAATATATACATATAAGGTCTTATAAGGGCATCTTCAATGCTGAGGTGCATTGCTATTCCACCTCAGCAAATGGACTTGGCGGATGTATTTGTCTTCTCCACTGGCAATTTAGCAATGCTGAGGTGCATTGCTATTCCACCTTCGGTTGCACCGCTTGACAATTTAAAATAGGTAGAAATGGAACCACTTGCATGGAGGACCACCCACTTGCAGTTGTCATTTGCGTGGCAAGGCAACTCTATCATTTTTTACTCCGCACTGGAAGAGTCTCTAATGGACCCTCTTTTTTTTTGAAACATTGATCCCATTTTGAAACAGACCTCTCAAATTTTGCCACATCACCTACAATTCACTTAGAGCATTGGAGTTGCTCTAAGTTGGTCTACTAGTAATCTCATGCAAAATCCTCAAGGACAGCATGACGAGATGGGGTCGTAGGGGCGATTGAATTTTCTCTTAATCAGTGGCACTACGGACAGTTGGGATGTGAGGATAACATAGGACCAGAGCCGGTCCTATCTACTTTCGGGCTTATGGGCGAGATAATATTTTAGGCTTATATTCAAGACAAACAATAAACTATACTTATTTAGAATAATAATTATAATAAAATTATCTAATAAAGCTCATAAAATAAAAAAGAATCCCACTTTATTGTTATCACCTAAAATACATATTTGGTGAAAAGTAACAACACAAGTATCACATAAAAGAAAAACATTACTTAAAAATCTTTCTCGCAGAACATTGTAAAGAAAAATCATCAATAATTGCTTCATAATCAGCCTTTTCCAATATCTCATGTTCAATACTTAAAATTGCTAACCCATTAAGTCTTTGTTGAGACATAGTCGATCGCAGATAATTCATCAGAATCTTCAACTTTGAAAAACATTACTTAAACATGTTTCTCGCGGAATTTTCAAGATTCAATTTCTTTACAAAAGCAAATTTTTCCATTGACCCCTTCTAACTTAATTCTACCTTTTCTATTCCTCTCCTCTTTCTCTCTTTATCCCAACCTGATTCATCCATTTTATCAATAATGGTTTATTGGTCATTATTGGATTGTTTGAAGTCTTGAAAGAAGAAATTTTTTTGTCATGTTTGGCCTCCTCGGTTGATTGACATTCTAACCAATTGCTGAGGCACTCACTGCTTTGCAACATTCTTTAATCTTGTTGATTTTGGAATTTGGAAATAACAAATCAATTTGGATGCACTATTCCAATTGGGAGTTTTGGAATTGGGAGACTTAACATAACTTGGTAATATTGTAATTAAAAGGATTATAAAGCATAGAGATGTGAAGACAATTAAGATAGACGTGTCTCTTTACATTTATGTTAAAAATTAAACCCTGGGCCTAATTAATTGAATTTAAAAATTAAAAAAAAATAGGTATAATCACACTACATATAAAAAATATTTGTGGGCCTATTTTTTTCTTCCTATTTTCTTGGGCTTAGGGTGGTCGCCCATGTTGCACCCCTAAGACCGGCCCTGCATAGGACAAATTTAGGGAAGGCATTGAAGTGTGGATTATTTTAGTGGGTACTCATCAAAACCAACCCATTGAATGCGTGATTAAAGATGAATGACATGAAGATTTAGTCAAAAGTTTAGTTATGAATTTAAAGGATTGAGCTAAAATTAGGAAGAATTTGTCAAAATAATAATTATGAATGATGAATAATTTGGGTGATGTCTAGTTGTCTACCCCACACGCAATACAGTCACAAGCTTCCGCACCTTATAACTCCTTAAGTACGTATCTGTCTTTTGATTCGCACATTATATTGGACTTTCTAGCATAATTATGTTGGAGAATTTTAATTTTACACCTTTTTATACTCTTATTTCATCTATCTTTGCATACAGGCAATTCGAATAAAAATGTAAAATATTTTAAAGTCATCTGTATACACAAGCAAGTGTATAAAAAAGTTTAAACCAAGAATTGTTTAACTTTATTTGGTGTTTGCATGGTTCACGTTGTTTTAGATTCCCATGATAAAGCTATAAAATTAATGTTGGATTGGGTTCGAGTTATAAGATTACGGATAAAGTAATACGGTCCTAAGGAGTATGAGTTAACAACGTGTTATTCAAAGTAAGATTAGTAAGTAATCGTAGACTGCCGTCACTTGGGAGAACGATGTAATATTGAGGTAATGTGATTATCTTGAATTAAATTGAGTAATTGAATCAGAATAATCTTTTTCCGTATCTCATTAATCATCATCAATCAGCTTATATACAATTGAGTTACAAGAAGTCTAGCCGCTACTGGGTTAACCGAATGAGAATCATTCTCCTATACGTAAGCTATAAAGTTAATCTACAACTAATTTACATTCAAAAAGGAAAAAGAATAACAATAATAAATGAACAATAATAAAGCCGGCCAAATGTGTAGGTGCGGTCAAATGTTGATATTATTTCCGTTGACTAAACCTATACTTTTGACCGCACCTACATAGTCTTTATGCCACACTGGCTGCTGCTTAGGGCGAGTGCTGCGTCGGTCAATGGAAACAGATGTGTCACGTTCACGGTTGGACGCAGAAGCTGAGTCATCCAACGTTGTGTTACTAGGTTCCACGTGAATCCCAGCTCCTCCGGCACAAGGTGGGTCTTTTGTCAACAATATACGTGAGCTGGCAGCATCTTCACACGTTGTAGCCCCTGATGGAGTACTGGATGCATGCAAATCCTCTTCCATGTGATTATCAAAATGTGATACTGGGGCCCGGTCATCATTATTTATAGTAGCTTGAGAATATGGAACCACCGGTGAAGTATCCTCCTTGGCAAGGTCGGCATAGGGAAATTTTGTTTCATCAAATGTGACATCACGTGAAACAAAATATCGTCGGTTCTCAATATCATACAATTTCCATCCCTTTTGTGAATAGGCATACCCCAAAAAAAACACACTTTAACCCCCGTGGAGCAAATTTATCACCATTTTTCCCTTGAGTGTGTGCATAGCACAAACAACCAAAGACACGTAAATGATCATATTTGGGTGCCTTTTTATGCAATATTTCATAAGGACTCTTAAACTCCAGAACAGAAGAAGGCAATCGGTTTATAAGATAACAAGCAGCCAACACACACTCGCCCCAAAAATCTATTGGCAAGTGTGCATGAAAACGAAGAGTTCGAGCGATATTCAAAATGTGTCGGTGTTTTCGCTCAACTCTTCCGTTCTGTTGAGGAGTATATACACAGGTTGTTTGAAAAAGAATTCCATCGTCCATAAAATAGGATTTCAAACACTGAAATTCTGTTCCATTGTCACTTCTAACAATTTTCACACGTTTGCCAAATTGTCGTTCTATCATTACAATAAATTGTTTAAGAAGCCGTGAGACTTCACTTTTTTCTTTCATCAAAAAAACCCATACTGCTCGTGAATAATCATCAACCACGGTTAGGAAATATCTAGCACCACACGACGCTGGAAAGCGATAAGGACCCCACACATCACAATGAATCAAATCAAATATTTCAAGTGCTCTTGAATCACTAATATGAAAAGCATCACGGGTCTTTTTCCCACGCAAACATGCGTCACAACTTTTATTTAGAGCAGCATCTATCTGACAAAGTATTATTGAAATTAATGACAGAACGTAAAACTTTGACTGACGGGTGTCCTAACCGGGAGTGCCACAAATCACTTTGTTCCTCTGTTATTGAGCAAGCACGAACAGGATCCAAACTATGAAAATAGTACACACCACCCCGTTTTTCACCCGCTCCAATCGGCGTCCTCGAAAGTAGGTCCTGTATCACACATATATCATTAGCAAAAAATATACCGCATTTCTGTTCATCAATTAACTGTGCTAAAGATATGAGATTGCACGTTAATCCAGGGACTAATAGCACATTAGTCATTTTAATTGCTCTGCTCAACTGCACATCCCCTTTGCTTGTTGCATGTGTAACCTCTCCATTTGGTAAGAATATAGGCATCGGTGGAATTTTATGGATATTCGTCAATATAGATTCCTGGCCAGTCATATGTAAGGATGCTCCGGAATCCAGTAACCATGCAGTAGTATTTAAATTCTTACCTGCGAGCTTATCATGTGGGGGTGCCTTACATTGATTCACAAGCTGGACAAATGCTTTCCACTGGTCATCCGTGAAAGCAAGTGCACGCAAGGATTCTGCCGAAATCAATGGATTTGCCATAGACAAATCCGTCGTGAAGTAATTGGTCGTCAAGATCGTTTGTGAAGAGTAGGTCTTGGATCGTTAACCCGCTCTGATACCAAATTGAGTAATTGAATCAGAATAATCTTTTTCCGTATCTCATTAATCATCATCAATCAGCTTATATACAATTGAGTTACAAGAAGTCTAGCCGCTACTGGGTTAACCGAATGAGAATCATTCTCCTATACGTAAGCTATAAAGTTAATCTACAACTAATTTACATTCAAAAAGGAAAAAGAATAACAATAATAAATGAACAATAATAAAGCCGGCCAAATGTGTAGGTGCGGTCAAAAGTATAGGTTTAGTCAACGGAAATAATATCAACAAATTACTTAGGTAATAAATTGAAGTAAGGTTACTATTGCAATGCTCTATTATCCTTAAATCATGTACAATGTATTCTGACAATTTTTTATTTTTAAATAATTAGTTTTCTATTTATATTGTCTCAACCAAACACACCGGATAGTCTTACGTACGTTCTCTAAATAATCATTTTACCTACATAATTTTACATTTTCATAATCTCAGTATCTCACATTGCCTTCATAAAGATATCACAATGAAATGGTTGAATATACTATTTCAGTATTTCGAATAGCACCTAAGCCTGGACTCGGGCCGGCGGTTCTGGAATGGGGGGCCCGGAACCGGCCCGGGTAAACCCCGGTTCCGGTTCGGGCCGGGCTGGGCCTTTGTTATTTTTTTTTCTTTCCCTAGTTAACCCCAACCCTCCCCCCCTCACCCCCAAACCACCTCAAATGGCCCAAAATACCCAGCCCAACCCGAAAAGTAAAACAAATTGAAAAAAAAAATAAAAAGGCCCGGAACCGGCCGGGCCGGTTCATGATTTGGGGGCCCCGAGCCCAGACCGGAACCCACGCGGGTCGGGCCTACCCGGACCGGTCACTGACCGGTCCACCGGGCCGGAATAGTGCCGGTTGGGGCCGGTTCCGGGTCGGGCTACCTGGCCCGAGTCCAGGCCTAATAGCACCCTTGAGGAACCATCCTACAAAAGAATAATAAGGGCCCAATAGAGTAAGAAAAAAGAACAAGGTCTTTCAAAAAAACAAGAAAAAACTACTCTGGATGTAGATTGAGGATGTTTTCTTTTGGACTGTTTTCAGTCCCAGACCAGACTAGACCAGACCAGACCAGATCAGACCAGACCAACCCAGACCAGACCAGACCAGATCAGACAAGACCACACCATATCAGACTAGACCAGACTTCCGTAGTTATAAAATACATAGAGACCAGACGTTTACCAGACCAGACCAGATCAAACCAGACCAGACCAGCAAATTTCCTTTTGGAATTCCAAAAGAAAACATCCTGAGTAGTTCAAAAAAGCCACATATAGTACTTCTAGTAGGGGAGAATAAACCATGAACCCGTTTGGTGACACCTTTTCTTGGCTTATCAAGCTTATCATCCAGCTTTTTCACCAAACATGTAACTTTTGCTTTCGCGCATTGAATTATGTAATAATAAGAAAAAGTAAGGTTGAAGTTACTTTTGTGACTGTATTGGCTGAAGTTACTGTAGACGATCATTTTAGATTTTTCTTCATATTAATTTTTATTTGATTTATTAATAACAAATATTTTAAATATGTAGTATAATTTTTCATAAATCAATAGAATCAGCCAATACAGTCACTTCATCCAGAACTTCATAAATTTCAATAGAATCAGTCAATTCAGCAAATTTTTGTGTTACCAAACAGGCTAAATATCCCATAATTACATACTTCGTACCAATCAGTACTATTGATGGCATTTTGAGAACCACATTTATAGTTAGAAAAAACTGTTTCTACACCGAAATATACACATTTTTATATAGCGGAATTTCTCTAAATAGGACTAAATAATAAAAGCAAAATTGTAACACAAGAAGCTATAAATTTAAATTTCTAAAATAGGACTAACTCATCCAATTCTGTCTCTCCCTTGTCATTCTTAATAAGATTTTTTAAATAATAATATTAAACATAAAAATATAGAACTAAACATATACAAAACGTAAAAAACAATTACAGACCCCTACCACAACCTCAGTCATCTCCCATCACTGCCACCTCTAGTCGCTGGAAAAGAATACCGAGTTTAAAAAATGTCATGTTGATGACAATTTTGAAAAGAAAGTTGGAGGATGCGGGTGGCAGTGAAGCTGGTGGTGTTGGGAAGTGGAGGATGCGGTGCAGTGACCTACATATTTTTTAGAAAGAATGACCATAATATACCTGTCGGGTTGTTATATGACAAAAATAAGAGTAAATTCCGTATGGACAAAAAAGATGCTAAAAAGGAGATAAATGGACTCAAATGCCCCTGAACCCTAACAAAATCGGCGCTCAACCATTTCCAGGACCCTGTACTGCCTTCTTCTCTCCTTCGATATGAGCAACGACAGCCACACCATCAGCAACGACAAGAGAAGGATCATCACCGCCGCCCTCTCCTTCCTGTCTCTGTTGCCCTAGTCGTCGACCTCGCCCGGCCATGCCTTCGCTGTCACTGTCACCCTACTGCACCTTCGTCGTTCTATTTCATCTTCTCTTACGTTTCTTCTCTTCTGTTCGTACGATTGTGGATGATTGAACAAGGTGGCTTGGGCTTCGCTGCGTCGTCTGCACTCCAGATCTGATCTATCCGGTTAGGGTTATGGCTATGGTCTATTTGTAATGGGCGGCGGCGAGGCTAGAAGGCCGGTGGCGGGAGAAGAGGTGCGGAAATTGTGGCGGCGGGGGAGGGATTGGATGGGGTGAGGCAGGAGGGAAGGGGATGGATGAGGCATATGGCTGCGGCTGGGGTGACACAGGGGACGAGGTGGGTGAGGCAGGAGGTTGGGTGATGAAGGGGAGGGGGCTGGGGAGGTGGCTAGTTGCTAGGGAGGTGGCTGGTTGATAGGGACTCGGTTGGGAGAATCAAGTTGGGTGGGGCACTGACCACCGTCGGTGGCTGCTTCCGATTGGCGGCAGGGCTAATTGGGTATGGCAGGCGGTGGTCACTGGACAGGGCAGTGTTGGTCACTAAACTCTGGTGGACGTTGGTCAAGCTATGATGGACGTTGGTCACTGGACAGACGGGTTTGATCACTGAATGGGCGGGCGTTAGCCACTGGATGGGCGGATGTTGATCATTGGACAGGCGGATGTTAGTCACTGGGTAGGAGTCACTATATGAATTGGTCACTGCACGGGAATCACTATAAAAATTGATCACCGAGCGGATGTCACTTTGTCAATTGGTCACTGGAGAAAAGTCACTGCACATTTGGTCACTGTGATGCGGGTCATTGGTGGGAGGTATTAATTTTTGGTCACTGGATGAATTATGTAACTATGTCATTGGTAACTGTAACATTGGTCACTGCACATTTGGTCACTGTGACGGGTTACTGTAGCAGGCCGGTGGGTTTGGGCTTAGTAAGGGTGTAACAATCCCTTAAGTATTATTTAGTCTTATTTTTGGAACTTAAAAGAAAAGTCTCTTTTTTGTCCAAATGCTTTTAATTAGTATTATTTGAGGACAAACCCCTATTTTTTAATATTTTTTAGGTATTGTATTTTATTTTTTAGACTTTTTAAACTTTTTATAAATATTTATTTTTAGTTTATTTTTATTTTATTTTTCCCATTTTTATTATTTTTTATATTTTTATTATAACTAAAAGTATGATTTTCTTATTAATAAAATAAATCTATTAAAAATTAGGGGTAATTTGAATTTGCACCCCAATTTATTGTCCACATTGGACTTTCCACCTCATTTTTAGAAATCTTTGTTTTTGCACCCCAGCCTCATATGAAAATACAAAAATGCCTCTTCATTAACAATTCTGTTGGCCTTTAACATATTCCTGATCGAGGGCATTTTTTGTGTTTTCATACTGAGTTGGAGTGCAAAAACAAAGTTTTTTTAAAAATGGGGTGCAAAGTCTAATTTGGATAATGAAATGGGGTGCAAAATCAAATTACCACTAAAATTATAAGAAGGGGGTAGAATAGGAAGAAAACATATATTACTCTTATTTTGGGAATAAAAAGATTAAAGTTCTATTGTTGCATTTAGGGCTACTTTTAGTCCCACTTAGGGCTAATAGCCGTTTTATATAGCTCACTCCTAGGTGTTTGAGTGAGCGTATAAACCGCTAGTGACGTGTACGCGATAGGCGTGTACACGAAGAATAATCCTATAAATGAGAATAATTCCTATTGTACAAACTCAAACCCGTGCACTATGTGTACACGCCCCTTTTCGTCTGTGCGGAGACATTTTTTTTTAAGTGAAACGTCTGTGGCACAGACAAAGTGTTTTGTCTGTGGAACAAACAATTTATTGACAAATTGTTTTTTCTGTGGCACAAACAATTTATTTTGTCTTTATAATTGACAATTTGCTTCACAAAAATGAAAAAAACAAATATGCGCATAAACAAAACCAGGTGTGCACCGAGCATGTAAGAGTTCGTTGTCTACACGGAGCAAAGTTTTAAACTCTATTTGATAACATTGAAAATTGACTGAATCGGCTTCGTGGGCTTAGATCAATTGGAATATCTTAATTGGCTAAATATGTTGAATTGTGGAAAAACTATATTAAAAAATGTTTTCTTAATAAAATAAAGAAACAATTATATGAAAATGGCTTACGAAAAGTTACGCATTTGGAAAGTCTTGCATGGATATGTATGTACGAGGAACGGTTATTTCAATTCAATCTTGCACAGAAAATTTAACAGAAATTGCATAAAATAGGATAAAAACATAGGCAAAGTTCTAAAAATAATTAAAATTATGAATGTTTTATTCATAAAATAGAAAATTACATGATAAACAAATTCTCTAGATAGGAGTGCACGAGTAGTATGTTGAGAAAAAACAATGTAACTCCTATTTTGAGAAAAGGAAATTTACATTATTTTAGTACTATTCAGAAGGTTTTCTCAAAATTCAAATTGTACACAATACAGAAACACATGAAGTGAATTATAATGATCATGATATAAGGGTTAATAATGTGTATTGTTAATCATTGAAGAGAGGTTAGAGAGTGTATGGTAGCATATGTGAAATGATTTTATATTTGAAATGTTGAATGTAAAAAAAATTGTCATCTGATTAGATTATTTGTTGTTGCTTAAGATTTTAATTAAATCATTTCATATTGTACTATGTAACATATTTCACAGAGGTTAGAGGATTGTATAATACTTTTCCTGTTTTTTTGTAAAGCATTATAACGACCTTAGATGTACTTTAAAACTAAATATTAATGTATTTGTATTTTATATATAATGGGATTGTAACTCTAAATTCTGAGAGCAATCATTCAACTTATAATGTTTTACTGTGAGAGCAATCATTCAACTTATAATGTTTTACTGTGTAAACCAGGAAATGATGGATGGACCTTATCACATAAGAAGATGAAATAATTCTCGTGTTCGGGCTGATTTACTTACTTGAAATATAATATTATCGTGTTTAAAAATAAACTATAATTCTAGTTTGTTATTACATACTTCAATACAATTTTATTTAATAATATGCTTTTATATATCTCACTTTTATCCGATAAGTTTTATGACATAATGTGTAACATTCGACATGATTCAAGTTTCGATGAACAATTCAATTTGTTGTTATCACACTGAATAGAATTTAATTGAGTATATCCTATCGAAGATGAATCATATCTAATTTATTTTTAATTTGATATAATTGTAAAACATAGAAAATTAGAAATTGAAGTAGATTAAATAAGAAAAAAAAGTCTGTTTACAAAAATGTGATCTCTTAAATATGATGACTATAGTGATAACTATAGCCATAGTCATTTATGTTTAACTTTTACACTTAAGTGTCACAACATTATACTCCGTATTATAGTAACTATTAGTAACATTTTTGTAAATACATTTTATTTCAATAATATATATTTTTGAAAAAACTTCATTAAGAAAATTCAATGTTCTAAAAAGGCAATGCGCGGGTGCCTAACTGGGGATTAGTCGGAAACATAAATTATATTTTTATCGATATTTTTGCTTAAATATGATAAGTGATATTGTGTTTGTGAGTGCCTATACACACACATATTAACATACATGAATGATAGAATTGTTGCATTCAAGAAGATATGAATATTTTAACTAATCACATTACTAAGTATTATCTTAATTTACTAGCAACTTTCTTCATATATATAATTAAAGGTCCATATATGTCTTAAGGGTAGAAGAAAAAAACAGTTTCGACAAATCTATCTAGACGCCTAAGCATTTGATTAGGCACTCTAGGCGAACAAGTAAGCGCCTTAGGCCGTCAACTAATTCACTTAGGCACCAAACCAATTAATCGAGATGTCTAGACTAAAATCAAGGCGTCAAACCATCGCATAACGCTTAGGCTGGGATTAATCGAGCGCCATAACGATCTTTAGAATAATAAGTAAATCTAATAAAACCTTAACATATTTAGATTTTAAGAAAATACAAATTTAAAGCAAGTAGTAGACCTAATAAGGACCTAAACCAAACTAAGTTAAATTTGGTCTTCATTCCTGAACTCAATTCAAACGGAAACAAATTAAAAAACAGAGAAAATCAAACTCGAACTAACCACCTTTAAGTGTTAGGATTGGATATAAGAAATAAATAATACACATTTCGTCTTGCTAAAATAGTTTCAACTTTCTCAGTAACGGTAAGATAGTCTAATATCAAATTTGGCAATGTTTATGTGATTGTAAATTACTTATACGACATTTTTTGCTTGTTTAATTCATTATCAATTACGCAAACTGACTTTTATTTACGGTGGCACTATTTATAGATAAGTAATTAATTAACTTTAATGTCAAATGAGTTTGAATTGGATGATCGAGATTGTCATAACACGTAAGTAATTAATTAACTTTATTACCAAATGAGTAAGAATTTTATAAGACGGTGCTATTTTTAGCAAAAAAAATACAAATTCTACCGGATATATTTTTTTGTTCACTGAGGTTATCTTATCTACCAAGTACCAACTTGCTATTTCCTCCCTCTTTCATACGACGTCGTTTATGAGTTCCCATTTCATAACCCGCCCAAAAGCTTCAAAAGTCAGAGTCCCTATAAATACCGTTGAATACGCGCATCTCCTGTGTCTATGAGTTTGCATGTAATAGCGGAGTAAACAAGTAGAGAATTATCCTGAATGGGGCCCTGCTTATCCCGGAGTGAGACGGCGAATCGTCGGCGGCCGAAACCGAACCCGTTCCGTTCGACATCGGTCGCGGGAGGAAGAAATCCGTCGACTAGGAGGCAGGACGTCGTGTTTCAGGACCACGAGCTCGCCGCCGCTGCGGTGGCAATCCTGTGCCAGCGGAAGTTGCAGAGCGGAGACGGCATCGGAGATGGCGCGACCAGCTCTGATTGTGCTGCATTGGCTTCCACTCTTCAGCTATTGAGATCGAGGACTAGGAGGAATCATCAGCCATTCCTGCCGTCTCCTCGGAGTTTGAGCTCCACGGTTCGATCCCCTGATCTATTGACTCCGTCTCAACAACTCAGTAGTGAGGTCGTGCCTTCTCTGTCTTAATCTAATTGCCTAATTGGATTTGAAATTTAATTTTAGCCAATAATTTCATCATTTGGTATTAGAAATATAGAAATACGGAGTATATTAGAGATATTTAAATTTAAAGATCTACATCCCTAAGTAATGTTTGAAAATGATCTGAAATTTTCACGTTCTCCTTTCTTAATCTAATGCTCAGTTTTTTGTATCCTCTGCAATTCAGCTGGATGTTTGTGTTGATGGTTTGGAGGCGAGCCATTTTGTTCTCGTTCACGGTGGTGGTTTTGGGGCTTGGTGCTGGTATAAAACGATTTCACTTTTGGAAGTTGCTGGATTTAGAGTTACCGCACTAGATTTAAGTGGGGCTGGAGTTCATTCCTTTGACACAAATAGTGTTACAAGTCTCTCTCAGTATGTCAAGCCACTTACAGATTTTCTCAATCAACTAGCTGATGGAGAAAAGGTTAATTCTTACTCCGTATTACAGTTTTGCTTTTTGACCACTGATTTCTAATTCTGGATGCATGTTTGATACTTTGATCTTCCCTGTTTCTTCTCATTTGTTCTCATCTCGATTTGGCATGTGGCAATTGAAAGAGTAGTACGCAACACCTTAGGACGTATGGCTTTCTCAATTGTCATGATGTGATAATGAAGCATAAGAACATTAGTCTGATTATATTCTTCCTCTATTCCCACAAGTAATAGTCTCATTTCTAAAGCTTTTGTGTCCCAAAATAGAGTCCTGCTTGACCAAATGAAGATTAATTTTCAAAAAAAAAAAACCGTGGTAGAGTAACAGATAAGTTTAGTTTGATAAATTTGGGTAAAGCAGCAAAAAAGGTTATAAAATAAAGGTGTCATTTATGACTTACAATGGTTTATCTCTTCTCCTTATGCTTTATCTTCTTGGAATATACAGGTGATCTTGGTAGGGCATGATTCCGGTGGTGCTTGTATATCATATGCAATGGAGCTTTTCTCTTCAAAAGTCTCCCGAGCTGTTTTCATTGCTGCTGCTATGTTAACCAATGGACAGAGTATACTTGATATGTTCTCCCAAAATGTATGTCTTCTTTTTGCTTCTTACGGCAGGAAAATATTTTTATGAATTTTTTGAGTAGATGCTTTATTAACTGGAAGTCTGTTTCTTTGTAATTGACTAATTGTTGGCTGAAGTTATGTATATATATATATAACTGTTTCATGTTTTTGCCTAGAATGTGTGGCCTTTACAATAACTAGTACTATTATATTTACTTTAGCAGGCAAAGGAAAATGATCTGATGATGCAAGCTCAAAGATTCATTTATGGTGATGACAAGAATGATAAACCCACTGCCATTGACCTGGACAAATCATTCTTGAGGGACTTGTTATTTAACCAGAGTCCTGCTAAGGTATGTTCTGTTGTTTTAACTTCTTATTGGATATTTTGCTGCGTCTGATCTACTCTCATTAACATGATACGGTTGGAAGTGATTACATCCAAAATGGAAATTTTCGGGGCCGTTTGGTATGGGTTATTTTGCTGAGTAGCCGAATCTGCTAAATTTTCTAAAAAATAATCCATTTGGTAAATTACTTTTTAGAAATTAAGTGAAATGCTGTTTGGAAAAGGTTATTTAACTTAAAGACTAATTCTTGTGGTCTTCTTTGAAAGGAAAAGATTTTTGGTAATGTTCATTTGAGCCAAATCGGCAAGTCAAAAACTAGTTGTTTTTTGTTAGTCTTATTATGCTGCATATTCACCAGATAAATAGAATAAGACAAATCATGCCACCAAACGCAGCATAAGCTAAATGCTGCTTAGAGCTCGTTTAGTGTCCAAATTTGGATTATTCTGATGCTCATCATTATAATGAAAAAATGAAAAAATGAAAATAAGCAGCAGTAAGATATTTTGACTTATAAATTAGTTGAAATGGCTTACTCTTTTTTGGTTGAAATGGTTTCTTGAAATGCTTTTCTTTCAGAGAATTCAATTAATCCATCCATACCAACTGAATATGCCGAACCTAACAAGCTCTTGTTGAGTTGTTGTGAAAGTATTCTAGTGCTTTTCAGTTTTAGTGTTCTAGAAATGGGGTTGTCTGTCTAAGAATCTTACCATGTTACTTTTCTATATTCATAATATGTTCAGGATGTTTCTTTAGCATCAGTGTCGATGCGGCCAATTCCCTTCTCCCCAATTCTGGAGAAGCTTACATTATCAGATGCTAAGTATGGCTCTATTAGAAGATTTTACATTGAAACTCCAGAGGATAATGCTATCCCCATTGCTCTACAGCAGACCATGATTGACCAAAGCCCTCCAGAAAAAGTTTATCATCTTAAAGGCGCAGATCACTCGCCATTTTTCTCCAAGCCTCAATCCCTTCACAAAATATTGGTAGAAGTCTCAAGAATCCCTTCAAAAACATAATGAGAGTTCAATGTGAGTGTTAAGGTTCTCTTAGAAGTGTTAGAACCCTAATGAACGCCTTCAGATTTCTGTAATATTGTTTTCGGTTGGAAAAGAGGATGAAAAGAGTATAGAGAGAAGTGAGGTGGAAAGGAAAAACACAAATTTTGTATACACTGGAAATTTTGTGTATTTTCATTTTGAGTCTAGCCTTCACCAGATGAAAGAATTTGTGTGAATTTTCAAGTCAAATTTCATTTTGACCATTTTTTTCGTGAAGTATTGTTTCAAAGTGGGGATGGACCAGGTCCGAGCACTCTGACCCGGGACCGGTAATGTTTGGACCGGTTCGAGACCGGTTTTACGTACCGGTACAAGCCCGGTACGTACCCGAACCAGCGTACAAACGGGACGGGCTCGGGCTTGATTTTTTGAGAACGGATTAGCCGATCCTGGGCCTGGTTCCAGTCTCAATGGATATATTGTTATTTTTTATTTTAATTAGAGGGTGGGTACCGACCTGGGACTAGTATTGTTAGGGCCCGGACCGGAACCAGTACCGGACCAGTAGCAGGCTTCAATTATTTAGAACTGGCACCGGCCGGGCCTAGGACCGGGATTGACCTGGATCGGCCCGACTCCATGCCTATTTCAAAGTAGTCTTGATCAATTTGTTTTAATTTGTATTTCGATTAATAATCTCTTACTATTTTGATGAATGTGCATTTTTCTCTTACATATTTACAATTTTGATGAATGCGTATTTAGGATGAGGAATTGAGGATATTTTGATTTGGACTTATTTCAGTCTCAGATTAAATTAGACCTAACTAGACCAGTTCAGGTCAAATTAGATTAGGATTCGATAGTTATAAAATACACAAAGATCAGACATTTATCAGTAATCAGATCACAAAATTTCAATCCAAAAAACATTTTTATTGCTAATTGGCAAACATTCAAACATGTACGTGGAAGATCCTGCAAGTAGTACTGAGATATTTATTTCGAGGACAACTTTTCATGTCCAGCCGGCCTGACGGGAACCGCCCTTCCGGCCGAGGGCATTTCGGGCAGTTCCCGGTGGAATTTTTTGATGAAATTTTTTGAGCATGTTCTTAATGAAGTCTAGTTTATCCATACCAAATTTCAGCTAAAAATTCAATCGGGAAGGCATTCAAATAATTTCTTGAAGTTAACTGGGCAGTTCATACATATAAACTGCCCAGTTAACTTCAAAAAATTATTTGAATGCCTTACCGATCGAATTTTGAGCTGAAATTTGGTATGGATAAACTAGACTTCATGAAGAACATGCTCAAAAAATTTCATCAAAAAATTCAATCGGGAATTGCCCGAAATGCCCTCAGCCGGACGGCGGTTCCCGTCAGGCCGGCTGGACAAGAAAAGGACTCTTATTTCGAGATGTAAGTATTATTGACTGAACTTTAGCTACGTACGATATGTATAGATACAACATAACAAAGTGTTTAGATTAAATGATGGTGGATTTTTGTCATTTTAACTTTACGTGATATTTGTCCTCGTTTACAAATATTTTGCAAATCTAATGTCATTCATGTGTCGCTAAACGATATGAATATTTTCAAGCTACATTACATGAAATTTAAATTTTAATATTGATAGTATGTGTAATATATCACTATTAGTAGCAACGAAAAAGTATGACACTGAATTGACCAGTATTCATCATCAATTGCGCACTTGGTAGCGGAGTCTTTAAATGTTTTTCCATCCTTGCAGGCTTTGCTTTCACATGTTACAATTATTTTAAATAACATTAATTAAAATAAGTGAATACTTATGATATAACTTTTTTTTGGTAAACACTACTTAACATAAGAAAAATGATAGTTATAATAATGAACACCTAAATTTAAGATTAATAAAATATGGTGTGTGTAGGGAATAGATCAGGTGAAAAGAACCCTTAAAATGAGAAGTGAGAAGTAATCTCTGCCGTTAGATTTGCATTTGATCTTACAATGCAGTATACTTATAGACTAAATATAGGAACTTATAACTAATCAATCATAACTTATAAAGCTCTCCATAATAATTACGAAAATGCCGCCGCGTCAAATTTTTTTCCAGGTTTCCGTAATTTTTTTTCGCGCTGACATTTTTGTAATTATTTTCGAGGGGTCTATAAGTTTTGATTTATTGGTTAAAAGTTCATTCATTTAGTCTATAAGTTTAACTTCGCAGTTCTTAGCCTAAGAGCATTTCTCACCTGATCCGCTCCCTATATATATGTGTGTAAAATAATAAACTATGGCTAAAACAAGTTACGTAGTATAAATTTCTTTAAATATTTCAATGCTTGTTGATGTGTGTGAATTTTAAATATAGGTTAAATTTTAGAATAGCTTATGGGATTTGAAACATATATTAATAACTTTAACATTTACTTTTCAGGTTAAAACTATTAAGAGCCTGTTTGGTAACTAATATTTTTTAACTTGCCAGTCTTATTATCAGCCATGTATGTTTATGAAACACACAAATTTTATTCTGCGCATTAAATATGTGAGTTTTAAGTTACTTCTGTAATTTAATTGACTTAAGTTACTATAAAAGATCATTATAGCTATTTTTCATAAGGTTTTTTTATTTAACATTAAAATATTTTTAAATATATCATATTTCGCAAAACAACAATGGGAAAATGGAAACTAATAATCCAACATTTTAACAGTCTTCTTACAATAGTCTCACATTTTCGTTATTCAAGAATAATCCAACCTTTGCACCTCATTTTCATTCGTCGGTCCATGACCGGTTAATGACCTGCTATTCTAAGTTATTTCTTTATCTTTGCAAAGTATTATCTTTATGAAAGGTGAGATTTATGGTATAATGGTTTGTAAAGATAAGAAAATAACTTGGAATAACAAGTCATCAACCGGTCAGGGACCAATGAATGAAGATGTGGTGCAAAGGTTGGATTATTCATGAATAACGAAAATGTGGGACTATTGTAAGACGGTCACTAAAAAGTTGGATTATTAGTTTCCATTTTCCCAACAACAAATTACTTAAGTCGACATAGCCGATTCAGCTAGAGTTTCATCAGTTTCAATAAATTCAACTCATTTAATCAATATCAGTGTTACCAAATAAGTTTGATCGATACAAAAATAATAAAGTAAAGATTATGTGCTTAAATTTTGTGCACAAAAGAAAGAATTACCAGACACCATAAATTCTTCAATTAAATGAGAAGTTGTAAAGACAGTGACATAAACAAAAAAAGAATGTTGATAAATTATTAAAGAAAACGAAGGAAATACAATTTAAAATCAACCAAATTAAATGATTTAAAATTATTGGCCCAAGTGTTTGCTTCAGTCCAATTAGAAAATGACCTGCCCGAATCTGGAATAACCTAAATCTACTTCCGCTTGTATTTATACCGTTTCTCTTCAGTGTACCATTTGATCGGATCTACCATCTCTCTCTACCCCTCATCTCAATTCATCCGATCTACCAGTTCTCTCGGATTTCCGGCTCCTCTGCCGTCGGACGCAGTCTACGCCACGCCGTTCGTCTAACATCCCGAGGTTAGTCGATTATTACTAACTCGCCTTTTATTTTATCGCATCTTGTTTTGTTTGTTCGTACATTTCTCGTTATATTTATCAGCAGTAATAGACCAAGCTTAGATGGTGTTGTTGAGTTTCGTACTTGATCTGTTAATTCTGTTAAACGATGAATAATTTTCTAAATCAAGGAGTTGTCGTAAGCTGTAATTTAATGGCCAGTGTCTCCTTACAGTCCTTAGTACGTAGAAGAGCCTAAATTCTGCAGATTAACTGTTAGGACATGTCACATCATCCCGTGATGATGTAATGATGACGTATTAGAGATAGTCAGATAAGTTTTTGAGAAGATCCTGGTCCGACTTGATCCGATTCCGGGCCCAGATTTTAGAAAACTAGGATAGATCTCAGATGTTGATCATTTTCATCCTATATGGCCACATAGGTCCGCAATGGAAGATCAATTGGTTTACATTGTTATTTGAATTGGAGATGACCACATGAGTCTAGAATAGAAGACTAATCTTAGTCATGAATTGTTGAATGACCAACTGACCAAGGTAAAAAAAACTGGATACCTCTAGTGATAATATTTTAATAACTGTAGAAGATATGGGCCCGTTGTATGAATTGATTATTGGGGGTTTGAAACTTTGAATAAATTTTCAATCATTGGTTTACTTTACTTGTGATGCGTCTGCTTTGAAGAATTATTCAAGATTACTGAATAATTCCTGAATACTTGGCCTTTCCAAATCTCCAGATCTATCTTGCAAATTTGACACTTTAGTACTTGTTCAATATCGCAGTTTGTCCTTTACTTTTAATGACCTAACAATTTGATACGGAGTATTATGTTTACTACTCCGTATATGTTTATTAAGAGAAGTGTTTGGATTCATTGCAGTAGCAGGCAGAGGATAGTGTAAAGAGAAAGCATCAAATAGTAGAGGATGGGGCGTGGAGTTAGTGCTGGTGGTGGGCAGAGTTCTTTGGGGTACCTGTTTGGTGGAGATGCGGCTCCTACCAATAATAGAACTACTCCAGCAGCAGCAGCAGTTCAGAAAAGCACCCCTCCTGCAGAAAAGGTGGTTTCCACTACACCACCCTCTGCTGCTGTGGACAATAGCAAAGTTCCTGCTGGCATTCACAGCTCCAACGCAAACAATTATGTTCGTGCTGATGGTCAGAACTGTGGCAACTTCATTACGGTAAGCCATTAGTATCTTATTGTTGGTTTAAGTGTTTAATTGTATCTAAGGTCCATGCTGCACCTGGGGATGAGTCTAATGAGTGTGTTTTAATGATCTTGATTATGATTGCAGGATAGGCCATCAACCAAGGTCCATGCTGCACCTGGTGGTGGCTCTTCACTTGGTTATCTATTTGGTGGTCCAGAGAAAAAGAATTGAACCACTTAAAAGTGTTTGGTTTGGGAGTCGCTCTCTCTCTCTACCTGTCAAGAATATAAATGTTCTAAAATGTCTGATGTCTGAACTTGATATTAAATGTAATACTTTGGTTCACTTGGATTTGTATTTGATGCATTTTGTAATTGATTTCTAAGTGTGATGATAAAATGTTATTACAATGATGAACTTGTTCCTTTGCAATTATCCACTTTTGTGCTCAGATTCTGAATGGTTAACACATGTTTGGACGACGCAACCTTTGTCACTGTGCTTTGATATGATGAAGAGATTATTTATGTTTGGATGAATAGGTAGGGTGAACCAAGTCGTTTCTGGATTGCTGGCTTGCTCCCATTCCAATGCAATTTGTTTTTCCCATTTAATGTATTAGTATTATTGCATCCTTAATGGATTGCCACCTTGATAAAATAAACATTGGGATAAAAATAACTTCTCCAATAGAACTGCCTATTTATTAGTTGGAATTGAAATTATCTCCCTGTCAAATGCCCTGTCCAGTCTCAGCCAGTCAACCCTCAGCACTGTTAAACAGATGCCTCAGTATAATACATACTGAGCTTTTTCTATGATGGTATAATACAATATATACTGGCATGTTCTTCAGCAACATAGAGAAGCCATAGTTTCGCATCCTCCTCAAACTTGAAGCATTCAAGTTATGATTTAACTTTCCGTTTTCAATTTGATAAATGATACAAAAAGGCTACAAGGTATGAAAGTTGAAACTATGAACTAAATTCATGGTAACTTCTAACTTCAATGCAATCTACTTATCTACCTCAACCAGAATAATCTGCAAACCTTTACAATTTTGAAGAAGCTTTTTCAGAGCATTGGTTCCAAATTCATTCTTCTATCATTTGTTTTGCCTCTGATTTTTCCTGCCTTAATCCATGTGTTGCTTCTGATTTTATTTATTATTGACTATGCTAGGAGATGAAATTACCGATCTCTTTCAAACTGTGCCTTTTGGAGTAGAAAAGTAGAGGAGATAATTTTAGTTACGGCTGTTTCAGTTGTAAATTGTAAACCTTT